TTTTAGTCTTATTATTGATCTGTGATTTTTAGTCTTATTATTGATCTGTGATCTCAGCTTAGATTAATTGATGAGAAATAAGATGAAAAGTTCATCCTAAATTATAATTTGTGAATTGTTTACCAGAGAGATGATAACTTTCGCCTCGGAAAATATTCAAGCAAGTCTGGAAGTAATCGTGGTTGAGGATGGACTTGGCAAACTGGAGATGAAACTTGGTATCTTGCAGGTTTGTTTTTTATCACATTATTCATCTGAATTGATCTTTCTGAGTTTAAATTAGTTCTTTTTCTCATAAATCCTTCTTTATTTTCAAAACGTCCGGCCAGGTCTCATTTCTTCAACTGTAATATTGGATCTGAACATAGATGCTAAGTTTTAATGGCTGACAAATGCCTATTATTGCTGTAGGAAAAATTAAGGGAGGTGCATTTGAATTTTTCAGTTGAAATCACAAAAATTAGTTAATATACGATAGGAAATAAGAAATTATTAGAAATATTGACGTATAGGAAATTATAAGTGGCAAGGACTGTGCTAACTAATAACTAAGACCCTTAAGGGATATTTCTTCGATTAATATTTCTGTAGTCATGTTGAAAGTTCAAAGAACCACTTTTTCCATGTATCTGCTGCTGATTTCAATTAGATGTTAATTCCTTATAATCACTTTCTTTTTTATCTACCGATTCCTTAATTTCCGCTTTTTTTGTTCTCTTCTCTCATAAAAAATGATCTGAAAACCCTATGGTAGTATCAAATTGTTTACCGAACTGGAGAGGTATTTGTTGCGAAAAATTTGGTTTTTTCTTTCGTAACAAATATAAACTCGACTTTTTTGCTTCCTTTATTAAAAGGAAGCTAGTTCCTCACATTTAGTTAAAAGAAACTGTTTTGTTGAGATTGAATTATCAGTGGATGGGTGAGGATCTGTTGATCCTTTTGATGTAGCAGAATATCAGGAATACAGGTAGTCGTTACTTTAATCCCGAGGAATAGATTGAAATGAATTTTGAGGGAGTAAAACAATAACGGAGCAGAATAACAAATTGGATCGGTGATTTAAAATTCCCTTGCAGAGATGGATGCGTATCTCTTTTTTAGTGAGTCAACAATGAATCCTTTTATATTGAAAACAAATGAGTGTGGATTACAATATGAGATAGCTCCTATAAGGTTTTACAAAGTCTGACAGTAATTTCATAGATGCAAGAGAAAT